CGTTTCGACTCGATTGAGAACGTTCTGTTTTTAATGTATGTTGTAAACGACGATTCCGCTATGGATGTTTTGATTTCAAAAATGCACTCAAAATGGCATATAGGCATACAAGTCGATAAGATGATAGCGCAAGCTTTAGTTAACACTCACTCAGCAGGTTGGGGTCATTTAAATTTAAAAATAGCCAGCTATTTAATGAAGCGGGATTTTTGCCACATAAGTTCCATATAATACGAGTACACAGAAAATTTTGTGTGATCATTACGGAAAGCGAAAAAATGTGTTAAATACAAGTATAAAAATAAAAAAAAATATGGTGATCAAACAACGGTGACCCTTCACAAATGACAACGAAACCTGAATTGGTGGCAAAGAAGGTAATGCTGAGAGTATAGAGGGATTGGAAAGAGGTTGACCATATTGAGTTTTTACAACCTGCGAAACGGTCAACTTTCAGCTATAGCTTACAACAAGGTCTTCTAATCTACCATCAAACAGTAGAAAAGGTGTATTTCCTATATACAGCTTTGATCTCCAGGTTTGACTGCAAAGTTTTGACGCCATATAGCGCGAACCTTATTTAGTTCTTCTTGGTCTGTGTAAAATACTCTTGTTGTTAAAAGAATGGCTGCTGTGCCGATTAAAACTATTTAGCCAAGTTCTTTGTCGATAAACCACAGAACTGTCACACAGCTGGATATGCGGAACTGAACGAAAAATGGCAAAAGGACATAGATAATAATTGAATAATATGAATTTGATGAAAATTAATTTTCAGTGAAGAACTTTTTTTCAATTATCATACGGAGCTTTTTTTAATTATCCGTATAATATTTTAAATTTTATTTTACTCAGATTTATGCTTATGTAAATATACGCATGTATGTCAATATCTAAGTGCACATACCGCTTTCATTTACTTATTTTCATTAAATTGCATTTATTATATATATGTATATATATGTTTTTTTAATGACTTTGTATACAAAGTGTTTTTTCTTCTTCTAATTTTTTGTTTGCTTGTATGAATGAACGTTTAAATAACATATTCATTTTGTCTATAACTAACATATTAAATTGGCTGCTAACCATTCATCTTCTGGCAACTGAAAAAATAGAAAAATTAAAAATTTAAATAAATAACTATATGCGTTTGTCAAAAATTTGTTAAATATTTGCAAATTCAAGGAAAATCAATTAAGTTTGGCACACGCAAAGTCAATTTATTTAGAAAATTTTTAAAGTTCAATGAACGGTTTGGAAAAATATTTACTTTGAAAAAAATATTTATTTTACTTGATATTACAACTAAAATATATACAAAATTTACTGAGGAAAACATACTAGGAATGTGTTTTCTTATGAAAAATATTCAGGCCTTTTCATAAAATTATTAAAACTTTTTTTTTTTGTTGTTTGACTAAACCGCTCGTGTGTATGCAAAACTTAATTACTTTTCGATTTATTTAATATTTAGTTATTTAAGCACTCATATCTTTGACTTTGTTTTAGTTAGAGACTCACACCCACACATCCGTTCTTACGTTGAAAGCTGTAATTATTATACAGTGGCTTTTTGCATTGGAGCTGACGGGAAAAATACTAAATTTAAAAGCAAAATTAAAATAATAGCAGATCTAATTTTATATCGAAGGTGTAGATAATTATAAAAACTTTGCGGACAGCAAATTGCCTAGTGAGTGGGGCGGGAAGAAGTTGTTGTATTTTACAGTTAGTTAAATAAATTAGCATGTATATGGAAAAAATATTTGACGTACATACATGGGTTGTAGTGAGTATGAGTGAAATGTTAGCACATTTGATTAAAATTTATACAAATTTAATAATCAATTTCAATAGCATAAGAGGATGATTTGTTTGTCCTTACTCTATGGAATGGTTAAGTAAGTATGTATGACATTGAATTTAACATTTCTAAAAGCACTTTATTTCGCACTGTAATTTGTCTGTAAACAGTCTGTAAAGGTCTAATCAATGCCATATCAATAGAATTTTTCAAGGAAAAATAACAAGCATTATTATCCAATTTAATTAAATTCATTTAATTTTCATATGCCCAGAAGCAAAATCTCCAAACGGTTTTGGGTTTACAATGACATTCTTTCTAATTATTTATTTTTATTTTCGGCAGATATCAACCGTGTACCGTATAACCTTGGCAACGCATAGCGTACCCTTTTGCAATTCATTAATAAAAATCCATTATTTATTTCTGAAAATTAAAAACCATGCTAAGCAGGAATATAAAGGGTGATTTTTAGCTATCATCTCTTTGGCATTATTGTCAAACATCTTCAGTTTGGTCTATATTTTTAACCATGAATCGTCTAACAAACGAACAACTTTTGCAAATTATTGAATTTATTATCAAAATGCGTGCTCTGTTAAAAAAAAGTTCAAAATAAAAACAGGACGATTTGGAAGTGAAGATCAGCCAGAAGCATTGAAAGAGCTATCAATGCATCCAGAAAAAGTCAAAGTTTGGTGTGGTTTATGGGCTGGTGGCATCATTGGACCGTACTTCTTCAAAGGTGATGTGAATCGTAACGTAACTGTGAATGGTGAGCGCTACCGTGAGATGATATCAAAACTTTTTAATTGCCCATAATGCAAGAGCTTGACTTGCATGACATATGGTTTCTATAAGACGGTGCCACATACCACTGCTACACAGCACGTGGAACAATAGACTTATTGTGCAGCGAGTTCAGTGCAAATTTTATTTCTTGTTCGGGACCGGTCAATTAGCCGCCTTTAGACTATTTTTTGTGAGACTACGTTAAATATAATGTCTATACAGACAACCTCGCTTCAAGTGACGTATTGGAGGACAACATTGCAGCAATAATTCCAATGGACCATTAGAGGCGCAATCACGGTCAACATTTTTTTTTTTTTTTTGAATTTTATGTGTTTTTTTTAACTTTCCGATAGCTTCTAAAAAATCACTCTTTATGTATGTATAATATTTGAACAAAGCTTAAAATGGGGACAACCTGAACTGTGGTGGCAATGCCATTTTACAGAAAAAAAGGTTAAATCAGAACAACTAATTTGGACAATTCAATTAATAAATGAGTAATTCAAATCACATTTGTTCGGGATGAAAGCATTAAATGTTAGAATATGAGTGGTAGAAGAAAATTTAGGAAACCAAACAATTTGAGTATCTTTCAAGTGCGTTAGTATTGCCCTTGAGTTATATATATGGAGTCAAGTCCAGGCAGTTAGTAATTAATATAAAATTAAGTGCATTAGTAATATACATTTTTTGAACATCTTTTAACGACTGTAGTTATTAATTGTATAAGAGCAGGATTGGCTGAAGATATAGCATTTACGTATAACAAAAACAGCATCGAGGCGAGGTGGCTATTTTGAAGAACTCCTGATCAGATATTAATTAATTGAGCTAAAGTGTCTTGAAAAACCTCAAATTGTGTGCCATTACTGTAATACGAGGAAACACATTGCAGAAATATTGGTTGAAGTCCGAAATCGTCTTGTTTATGGATGAGAATTTTGTGGAAAACCCTGTCGAATGCTCTACCGAATTCAGTGTAGATGACGTCAGTTTGTTAATTATCAAATAAAATTAAAGGTTCGAGTCTAGGAATATATACTCAACTGGTATAAAGATGAGGCATGATCGGAGTATTGAAGTTTCGAAGCACACCATATTGAAAAATTATTGAATGATGTAATTATGTTTTATTATGAGAAAACTGCTTTTTGCTTCTCTAGAAAATTATATATACGTGCATATGCGTATACTACCAGCGATTCACAGGCAATAATTAATTAGCTAATGAATTGTTAAGTGCGTTGCTTCATCTACCAATGCACTAGAATTTTCCCCCCTCTCTGCCTCTACTGCGTTGTTAAGGTTAAACGAATTTTAAAAGCAATTAGGATTTGATTGAGAGTGCGTTATATGAGGAAAAATGAAATTAATCATATTTTTTTAAGCCTGGCGTTTAGTGCATGTGTGTGGTTTATTTCACTTTGACTGAGTGTGTGGTTCTGCTGTACACTATGGTGCTTGTTAGTTAAAAATGTGAATAATATTAAAAGAGTAAGCTAAACAAATTCAAAAAAAAAAATTATGTTCAAAATAGGCATTAAAAGTGTTTAGTTTCAAAAATTAATGTCATGTGAGTTTCTTATGGAAAAATTTTTCGTGGAAATTTACTGTTCAGAAAGCAGATTTACAGTATATTTATTGTTTATTTTTTCTAGTAAAAACGCAGCATAAGTTTTATTTTTTCATCAATTTTCAAAGTACTTTTTTTAGACTTTGACTTTAATTTTTTATGACCAATTTTTGTTTTTGTTGACAGTGTTATAGTTTTTCCTTAATTTTTATGCTAATTAGTAGTCATATCAAAGTACCGATTTTTCGTTTAGTTAAATATTAATTGTTTTGTTTATTTATACAGGCACTAGTGCAATATTCATATTAGTTTAGAAATAATATCATATAGGAATATATTTTAAGTTGCGTTGCAAATGGCTGTCTCTGCTGGGAATAAGCACGCAACAACGAGTTGGAATTATTTCGTAAATACATTAGAAAACTTGTCTGCTAGAAATTGGCTTTTGCATAAATATATTTGTGTTGAAGAGTTTCGGGCCAATTTTTTATTTGTTTGTTTCTCCACCTGCTTTATTAAGTCAATACACCTCCCAATTGTTAGTCTATAATTTTATACAATATTAACTTTGTTTCTCAAAAAAAACTGAATATGTCTTTGAATGCGTGCAATTATACGGCCAAGTGAGATAATGAGCTTCTGCGCCTAAAAGTAAATTAGCGTTTTTCTTTTCTTCTTGGTTTTTTCTTTTTTTGGAGGCCAACAATATTAGTGCTACTACATATGTATGTATACAGTTGGTGTATGTGTGTATTTTTGTGGGTGATTGTATGTGTATATTTAGCAACGTGTGGGGTTCTAAAAAAAACTTGCTCTATACATACATACATTCGTATTATATTAGTGTTAATAATAGTACACATATATATTTATGCCAACAATACAAATATGTTAGCATTATTCCTACTGCAAACACATAATATAGTGCATAAGCTCTCTCTGACTTCTTCGATGTGTTGGTGTGGGAAATATTTAAGAATTTCACCTTCCCTGCGTCTCCTGTTGCCGCTGCTTTTAACCGTTAAATAGTGCTTCTGTTTTTCCTTTTATTGTTTTCTTCAATTTGCAATATCTTTCGCTCCTCATTGTATTTCTATCATGTGCAAATATTTATAACACACACTACGAGTATACTAATTTTTTTCCCAAGAATATTCGATATTTTTACTTTCCTCTTTCGTGTTCCTGTTAAACGTTATCTTGTTGTCAAACTTCCCACCAGGAATTTTCTTTTTTCATTCATTTCTACATGCAATGGTTGTATGTATATGTATATGTACGGTTATTTATGCTACTTTGCTTATTACAGCAGCAAAATAGTGAGTATTTGTTAAATTACTACATTAAAACATTGTTTTTATTAATCCTTCTAATTTACTACTTTTCGCTGTGTACACTAAACTGTCTAATATTTTCATGTGCTTCATTTATGCTGCTCGTATTTACATATATTTTTTTTTTTTCAAAGCTACCACTAAGTACATTTTTTCTGCTTTATTTTTAGTTGTTGTTTGTTTCATTTGTTAAATTAATTATTACAATCACTATAACAATATTACTTAAACTACGTTCTCATTTTATAATGAATTGTATGCTATCTTATATGTGGGTTTACTGTGCCTGCAAAAGTAAAGGATAAACCTTAAAAAATAATATGAGGTGTTAGTAAAAATTGTAAAAAAGTAGTAGGAAAAAATTTTGGTAAAAATAGTAATGAATAAAATTTTATTGTAAAAAGTTGCCATTAAAAATGCATATTTCAATGCTAAAATGTAGTTTTTTGTGCTAACAAATAATTTAATGAGTTAATATATCATGATAAAATGGTATTTAAAAATTGGTTCAAGAAAGTATTGTAGTAAAGACTTAATCTAAAATGCATTTGTTGTGCACTATAGTGGTAGGGTTAATATATTTTGTTTATTTAATTATTAATTAATATTTACAAAATATGCAAACATGCAAATATTTAAAAAACATGCAAAAATCAGTGATTAAAGCAAGCTTTTAGGCGTAAAGGTTATTTTGGCGTAAAGATTATTTTGATAAGGAAAAAACAATTAAACTAAAAATAAAATAAAATAGTTTTGACTGATTTTCTGTTGAGCCAGCATTTCAGTATTACTATTTGTTATTTTACCCCACATATTGGAATAAACTGATTAATTTATCAATACCATTTCGTTTATTAATTGGTTCACGAAGAAGTGCATGAAGTCAACAACAATGTAATAGAAGAGGAAGTACTTATTTCAGCGCAATTAATTTATTTATAATTCTTTTAATTTTTTGAAACTAGACACATTTTTTTAATTTCATTTAATTTGAAATTTTTTAGCCCTTTATTTGCTTAAATTTAAGTTCAACAATTTGCTCGATTACGAAACCCTGAGCAAATGCTTTTAGGCCTATTTGGCTGTTGTGATGCTTATGTTGGTATTGATAAAGAAATTCCTTTCATCTGTCATGTTCAAGCCACTTGGTGTGTTTATGAAATTCAAGAATTGATCTGATTAATGACACCTGCCGATGTAACCTCTACAAAGCAAACGAAGCAGAAATTTCCGAGTAAACAATAACGGACCTCACTGAGAGTTGAGCAGTAACAGAAATGGAGTATTCCATCGACCTACAAACAGCCAATCTTACTACCATAACCTCCATAAGAGAGTTTCCGGTCCGGCTTAAAACTAGTAGAGACCTAGTTCTGTGTACCTCGATTAAATGCCAGATTTTTCTGCTAACATTGTACATGGTTTCACTAGCCACCTGCTATTGGCCCTTCTGGTGAATACTACTATTAGCAGATCCTTTTTCAATGAAAGTATTATGTCAACGTCATGTGCAAAATTGCCTAGTTTAGGACTGCTCTCTCTGGCCAGTTCGTCGGCTACGCAGTTCTCCTGTGACCATGGACCCAAACTATGGATGTTTTGCATACAGTTAATAGTTTTAGATCTATCTGCATTTCATTGTCCCCTGGTTGTCAGAACATATTGTTATAGGTTGGAAATATGGTATTGAAACGAGCAACCAGGAATTGTTCTCAATTGTGGGGATTAGCTTCGCTTGGATAACGCTGTAGTAGACTCGAAGTCTCTTATTTAATTTTAGAGCAAGCGGTTCAGAACAAACTCTGCAACCTACTTTGTTTAGATGGCTAAGAATCTATCATACAGAGCTGCTACATTTTAACATTCGTTCCATTCTAGGATTTCTGTATGGTATTGATTTTAAAATCACTGTCGAAATAAAAGACGCAATTGGTGTAGTCCGCCTCTTCGGAAAAAAATCTAGAGTTTAGTATACCACTTAGTATAGCCAGCATACAATAAGTGGTGTTAGTTCAATCTTGCCGATCGCCGCCTGGGAGGCGTAGAGTGCGGCCATAGATTTCTTACATCTTTCTATCGTGTTCGGTACTCTTTTGAAGCAACAAGAAAAGTTTCAAAATTTGGCTTTGCTATAAAATTTACTCATTAAATTAAAAATTATACTTATGTAAGTTAACTTTAAGTATTTTACTCAAAATATTTTTTAAGCTTCTAGTGAGTAATAAATGAAATAAAATTTTCCTAATTTTTCATTCAATTAAATTTTTTATTCTAATTTACTTCAAGCAACAATTTGTTGGCCAAGACTCTGTATAACAAAAGGAGTCGAATTTCATAAAATAAATTTTACAAATATTATGTCGCTGAAGCTGACAACATCGACTATTTGTCGAACGCAGTGAGGATTTGAAGAGCGCGGTTGGTGGACTTTCAACCTGGGATATACCACTAAGCTTCCAAGGAAATTTAGTGTTGTTGTGACCACTACACCCGCAATAGTATCTTCCAAAACTAACTAAGTTTGAATCAGTTGAGTACAGAGCGTGCATAGAAAAGCACAGAACACTACAATGCTACATATGAGAGTGTCTGGCTTTCAGCCTTAGGTAAATGGGTAATGAATAATCAAACGAACTGATCGCCGAAGCATTGTTTGGACACACAGGTGAACAAAATGACTTAATGCGGCAGCTTTGATCAGATACAATGATATCTGTCAATAAATTTTCATTCCAAAATTATTCATATACATAAAGCATTTCGGAAATGGTATGAAGTAAAGTTGCTCATATTGCGTGTCGCGATTGACCATATTAATCAAATATGTTTTACAAATGAGAGAAAGATTCACAATACCCAAACTGGTTTATTCCTTAGTCAATGGTGACGCATAAAATTGATGATATTCGCAACTGTTTAGAAGCTTGGAGTTAAGATATTATTTTGGAATTTAGAGTGCCAGTGCTTGGATTTAGTAAAATATATTAACATACATGATTTGGTCTTTTAATGGGCATAAATGAAAAATATATGATTTTAGTAGAAATTATGAAAAAATTGAAACTACTTCAGAACGGGATAGAGTTTATCGGACCAAAATATTAACAATAATTTGGAGCTTGTATTACAAATATCAGTTTAAATGAATTCATATGCTTAAAGAAGTTACAGTTAGAAAAAATCATGCAACGTAAAAAAACAGGCATTTTGATATATGAAAAGAGAAAGTATGCACTAATGTTTCGAATACGCAACTCCAACTAGCAACTGTAATAATTACGAGCACTAATAGAATATGAATAACAACAACACAAACAATTGCGTAATCAACAATTGTCATTGTTGTTGTTATTGTAATACAATCAAACATCACAACCCACCTGAGGGCTCACTTGGAATTGCTGAATCGGATAGGCAACCACGCCGGCAGGTTGCGGTATGGCACCACCAGGCACACCCGTCGCCAATTGTTGAGCGGGAGAGATTTGCTGTTGTGTGGCAACACCTTGCCAGGCTGGTATCTGTACGCCCATGCTGTAGAGATTGAAAAGACAAGAGGAAATTTAAATAAATAATTTAATATTTTTAATGGAATATTGAAATTGATTTCGAGAAAGTTAATATTAATAACATTAATAAAGCATTATTTTAAATAGCTTGGCTTAGATATAATGAACAAAGCATAACTTATCTATACTTAATTAAAAATAAACTTAATAATAAATATATTACTAAGTGTATTTGCGTTCATCAAGAACGTACTCAACCATGGTATCGTTAGTATAGCTCAAAGTTTTATAAACTAAAAAACACTGTATTTCAAGCTTTATTAAAATAATGTTATGCGTTTAAAGTACTCGCATTTAAAATATGCAAACAACCTCTTAATTATAAATCAAAACTTTTATAATACATATTTGCTCAAAATCAAATGTTTCTTAATAACAAAACCCAACTCACTTATGGCTTCATAAACTCTAAACGCAGGTATCTGGGTTCCATCTGTCATGATGTTCTAAAATAAAACAATTTATAGTTTTTTCGCTAATATTTTTCAAGTCTGACGATTTCTCAAGTAAATTGTAATTACGCTTACACAGTATGTCCGAGTAACTGGGTGCATATACCTACAATATATTCATTCAAAGCCTTTAGAAATGTTAAATAAATTGGTCCGGATCAAATATCTTCTCGTTTTCTAGTAACCTGTGCTGATCATATTTAACGATTAAAGAGGGAATACCTATACCTTTAGTAGAAAATTTTCGAAGTAAAGCTTAACTTTCTGCAATTCCAAAATAATTTGAACCGCGTATCGCAAATCATTTGCCTCGTTCAATTTCGTCTATTATGTCACATTGTCCACATGGGTTTGTTAAAGAGAAATCTACTAGTATTAACATACTTGAGTTCAATTATTATAACATTAATGCGGCGGTCACGGTAGCACGGTAGTTAGCATTGCGTACTGCCATTCGGAAGGCTCGTGTTCAAATCCCCGTGCGACCAGCATACAAAAGTTAGTGTTTTCAAAAGTTATAGAAAATTAATTTAAATAAAAAATTAAGCTAAATTTTCTAATTGCGGTCGCCCCCGGCAGGGAATGTCAACCACTTTGAGTGTCTTTCTGACATGAAATAAAAGCTCCTCATAAAAAACAACCATCAGCCGTTCGGAGGCCCCCTCCATTTGTTGGAAAAACATCAATACACAAAACCACAAATTGAAGGAGGAGCTTATATAAACAAATATGTATATAATGAATTATGAGATAATACAAGTGCTGATGTAATATATACAGACTTCAGCTAAGCTTTTGACGAAATATGTCGCTGAATACTAATCAAGAACTTTGACTTATTGGGTTCCCAAACCAAACATTTACAATGGGTGCCTTCATACCTGTATGATTGAGCACAGATAGTAGTGTTTAAAGATTCGATTTCAGATTCCATTAAATGTTCTACATGAATACCCGATGGTAGCTATCTTGGCCTGATTCTGGTTTCATTATTTATAAATGATACTTCTTCTTAGATGCAAGTTTCAATAATTTGAATGTGGACGAATGATTAATGGCAAATAGAGGTATCTTGCTTCAGATGCACTAAAATAGCATGTTAAATGGCCAAAAATAAGTCTTAATGAATGTAAAGTTTTGGGAATCTACCGAAAAGCCGTAGAGACAGACTCTTAAACAATAGATGATTATAATTTGGAACGGGTTCACCGTTTTGCTAACATGGGTATCTCTTCTTTATACTGGTGTGGCAACCATCAAAGCTAAAAGCATATTGGCGTTTGCGGTCAAAGGAATTCAAATATCCCTATAACATTAGTAAGGCCTGTTCTGGAATGCGTCTCGGTATTTTGGAACCCGTGATATTAAATCAGCTCTGAAATCAAAGTTCAATATGTAGTACAATTGCCATATCTCACTTTTATATTAAGATAATAATATAAGATAACAATATCATCGACTCTCAGTTAATCATCGTGCAGATGAGCGGGAAGTGGGTAAATCGTTAAAAATAGTTATTTAAATAAATATTAAAAAAACATTAACAACTGTTTCAACCTCCACTGAAAATATCTTTTCATTTGGTCTTAAGAAAGCCATATATTTTCGTATCAAATTATTATGGAGAATCGCACTTTCTTTGTTATATTTAATATCACAAAGGTTTAATATTTCTAACCACAATCACAGCAATCAATAATTTACGATGCAGCTAAGTGCAAAAACACCCACACAACTTTGGTTAGTCTTAATGACCATTTTTGCTGTCACCAAATGTCTTCAGCTGCATCTAGGCTGATGTTGTAAACCCAAACTGATGCCATCAACCAAAAGTCTCAGAAAGAGCTACAACCGCAATAATGGTTGTACAAAACTGCATACCATAATTATAGCAACAAAGATAGTTAAAAATGGCCACTAAAAAATCTGAATTCAAAAGCATATTTCGCTAGGCAAAAGTTTATTTTATTTACGGTGCTTTTACTATACTTGTATGTATGAAATGTGCTCATTGTAAGTGTCAATAGGACACCATTAAAGGGGGAGTGTATAATGTGAATGTTTTCGCTGTAAAATTTTAACATTTCTTTTATAAACAATATACTTTTAATCGACGGAAAAATAGGTTCGCTATACTACCCGTATATTTCTTAACGTATGACCATGAATAACTTTTTAAAGAGAGTTCGATTTTGAAAAAAAAAACTTATTGCCCAAAAATAGTCCCAGACAAAACAAATTTTATAACCCATAATTTTTTAATGCTTCAGAGCAAGTATCGAAATCCTTAGATAAAATTGAATTTTAATATTTTAAATATCAAAGCTATGGACGGCAAGGAGTAGCAAGCCCACCGCGTACATTCTTGATAAAAACAAATCTTTCAGCCGTTCGGAGGCTCAAATTAAATTGTAGCTCCAACAAATTGGGGAAGGAGCTCGCTCACTTTAGAAGGTTATGAGATGGTAATTTTTATATTAGAGCTATTTAAGCCAAGAAAACAGATTTTATATTATTGTACAAGTCGAGCTTTGTATACATATATTTATAAAGTATGTTGCCCGAAAATTATATAAGGTTGTCAAATATCTCCCTTCCGCTTTTTTGTCTTTTGAATTTCGCGGCTATGTACAAAGCGCTACAGAGCTCGTACCTGGCAACACTATACATAATTTGAAAGGTCTTGAAACAACGCTATGCATGATTAGTTTGGATATTGCGTTCAACAGTTATAGACGTGTAAACATGGAGTTCACTAACGCCGAAATTCGCGCTATTTTAAAGTTTTCCTTCGTTAAAGGCAAATCCGCTAGAGAAACGTTCCGTGAGATTAATGGTGTTTTAGAGGATGGTACTCTATCACATCGAACCGCGAAGGAATGGTTTTGAAGATTCAGAGCCGGTGAAAATGACGCCATGGATAAGCCAGCCGGCGGAAGACCTGTGACGACAAATACCGATCAAATCATCGAATACATCGAGTTAGACCGGCATATCGCATCTCGTGACATCGCCCAGGAGATGGGAGTTAGTCACCAAACCATTTTGAACCATCTGCAGAAGGCTGGATACAAAAAAAATTGGGATGTTTGGGTGCCGCATAATTTGACGCAAAAAAATCTTCTGGACCGAATCAACGCCTGCGATATGCTGCTGAAACGGAACGAACTCGACCCATTCTTGAAGCGGATGGTAACCGGCGACGAAAAATGGATCACATACGACAATATCAAGCGAAAACGGTCGTGGTCGAAGGCCGGTGAATCGTCCCAAACAGTGGCCAAGCCGGGATTGACGGCCAGGAAGGTTTTGCTGTGTGTTTGGTGGGATTGGAAGGAAATCATCCACTATGAGCTGCTCCCATATGACCAGACGCTTAATTCTACCATCTACTGCGAACAACTGTACCGCTTGAAGCAGGCGATCGACCAGAAGCGTCCAGAATTGGCCAACAGGAAGGGTGTAGTGTTCCACCAGGACAACGCCAGACCACACACTTCGTTGATGACTCGTCAGAAGCTACGGGAGCTCGGATGGGAGGTTTTATCGCATCCACCATATAGCCCGGACGTAGCGCCAAGTGATGGTGGTGTGAAGTTGAACTCAAAAGAGGCTTGTGAAAAGTGGCTGTCCGAATTCTTCGCAAATAAGGAGAGGGGCTTCTACGAGAAAGGTATTATGAAGTCGCCGTCTAGATGGAAACAGATCATCGAACGAAACGGTGCATATTTTAACTAAATCCGAGCACTGTAACACTTTTTATAAAGCATTGAATGAAGAGCAAAAAAGCGGAAGGAAGATATTTGACAAAGTTTTGAAGTAAATACTCAGTGCAGAGAAAATCATTATAAGCTAATATTCGGTTCTTTTCTGTGCTTGTAAGTTCACATTTCATGTATACAAAATTTACTTTGGTTCGGATTATGCAAGTTCCTGAAGTGAAGTGATCCATTGAGATCTATAACGATTGGATCAAATTGACAAATTGAGTTGATTTAGCTATGTCTCTCTGTTCGCCTGTTTGTATTGGTCTTGAAAAGTTTGAGATATTTCAACCAATGTTGGTACACAGATGGCACTGGTAACTTTAATTGCCGATAGCAACCACTTTGGATTATACAATAGTATATAAACGACTGAGTTTTCAGATTGTTTTTTTTTTTCGTCGAAAATGTCAAGTCGATTTATACAGATCTGAGAGTTCAATTTTAATCCTTAAATGATGTACCTTAAATTTGATATGGTAATGAAGAGTATACAGACTTCAACATGGCCGAAGGCAGCTCATCTTCTTAGTTTGATGTTATAATTATATAAACAAATATGCTTTTTTCCCATATGCTAGGCTATATATAAATATGTTTATTTATTTTTAAACCGACTCAGGTTTTTATCGCATGGACATATTGCATTTATATTGCTTAGTTAGTATATACGGGTAAAGCCGATTTATTTTTAAAAAATCATTGTATTTTCTTTTGAGATGCAATTTACAGTTTACAATTAGTGTTAAAGCAGAAATTCTCAACCAACCAAAAGATGTCAATTTGCTTTGTAAGTATGACAATTAAACTTACCAAAATTATTTTGTTTCATAGTTAATGTTAAAGTTAAAATGGCTGCTTGCTACATATGAAATTAACATCAAACTTCAATGTTAATATTTAACATAATCTGTTAACTATTATATTTAACATTAACAGCAGCATTTCGCTTCGGGCCAGTAAAGTGATATTTGTTAGGAGCAATCGATATAAACGTAAAAATATGAGGCGTGGAAAAAAGTTTTAGATGAGCGTGGCATAACCTACTTTCTCCGAAACTAATGCGCAGAGGGCATAATTTCATAAAATTTGATATATATATCAATCCTATATCCTACTCGAAATGGCTAGCCATAACAACATAATTTATTTGCTGGGCGATCTGTGGACTTAATATAATTATCTGTGGGTTAATTTTTTTTTTGGAGGAAGTGGTCCTACTGGACACTTGAATGATATCATAAAAATGCTTGTAATGACTCTTTTCATACATCAGAACTCAGATCAGCTCAGTCACACTTTGTGCAATTGCAATTTAACATTTTCGTCGACCTCTACATCCAAATTCGCATAGAAATTGATGGCAACGGATGCAGTGCCAACACCAACCACGAACTTCAGAAGTTGCATGAATATCTGCATGACGAACCAGTAATATTTATGAAAACATACACATTGATGTGCATATTTGTTGAGTGAACAGCGGACTACTGAAGGCAGGTGGGATGTATGGCGGATAGCAAATGGCAGTTTGGTGAAGGCGGAAAGCTCTGGCTGCGCATAACTTTTGCAATTAGCAAATGAATTCAGTCAACCATCACTTCGTCATCATTCACCGCTGTCCAACTCAACACTGCGCTGCTAACTAGATAGTGTTCATCATACAACACACACACTCGCATGTAGATACATGTATATGATAACGCAATATACATAGCTTACTATGGCGATGGCGACGTGATATCGTGTTGATATATACGTTTTGCGGATTTGTGTTTTGGCCTTACTCTTGCACCATTTTTTTCCACAATTGGCGCTGGTATTTGAACATTCGCGATAATTGGCTGTATGTCGCATTGAAATTGTTACAAATTGTAGGAATCGATTCTGTGCTTTAACGCGCACATGCGGGCGTTACGTACACACACAGGTGTATACGGCATACACAGATATTTGTTTTAAAACCGTTATTCGAGAATTTGAAATCGATTGATGAGCTGCGATTGAGCATAGAGCTGTTATGTTTGGCTTTGTATTAAAAATGCAAAATTAACAGAATTGCAAATAAAGCGCTGCGGCACAACGGTGGCAAGCGATTTTCAGTTAATTGCAAATTTTTGTTGCATACATTGTGGCGCACATCCAGCCATTTGTGGCTTATCGCACAGCCCAACATGCACAAGCGAAGCAGTCAATGCAATATAAACACCACTGCAACGAGCTATCGATTAGTAAACTGCCAAATCACTCTCTGCTCACCCCAGTGTGCCAACACCACCTTACCAGCGCTCTAGCGCTTTTCTTCTTTTGTCGATACACGATTATCGCCTCAATTATGTTAATAGCTGCAGTATTGCACGATGCTCATTCGCTTGATTGTATACGCGCTTAAATTGCTTTATAAGCTCAGGTATATGTATGTGTATTGCATGCATTAGGGCGGATGTTGCAATTTTTTGGAGTTTTTGATTTTTTGTTTTTTTTTTTTTTGGCATATGCATTTTCGAAATGCAAAAAGAAAACGCCGAAATTGATATTTCAGCATATTTATTAAAATCATCCAGCGAATTTCAAATTTAGTATTGAAAAACAAGAAGAAAAAAATATTGCCAAAACAAAGAGCCGCGTGATCACGAAATAAAAACGAGACTCTTAATTTAGTATTCATACTAGATTTTCCTCGCTGGCTGCCGTTGTCTTAAGATAGTATCTTGGTTTGGAAAAATATTTTTTTTAATTTTTCGAAAGTTCTATATTTTAGAGAGAGACTAAAAATTTTCGAATAAAATTCGAAACATTGCCGAAGTTATATTACTTAAACGTGAGCATCTTGTAGTAGTAGCTGAAAATCTGTTGTTGAAACTGCATTTCTCTCAAAACAACACTTTTACGGCCTTACATTTTTCTATCCAACCGATTGAGCTGGAATTTAAATTTTGCTTATCAATAGCACTCACAGAAACTGAGATATTTATAGTTTATTTTACTAACCATCCATTTAAAAACCAATTTCTACTAAAGAAATTTAAATTTTTTCGGAGTCGAATTTTTTTTAATCCTAGTTCCAACCGGATTGGCAAGTTCACAAAATAATAATATTTTCGGTATTCTTATTTCAGAGATCCTCATGCGATCAAATCACCGGGGTCAGATACCTTTTATTTTATTTTATTTTATTTTATTTTATTTTATTTTATTTTATTTTATTTTATTTTATTTTATTTTATTTTATTTTATTTTATTTTATTTTATTTTATTTTTTAATTCATATTATTTTGTTTACACTGAGATACAAAGTTTGTTTATTGAATTGCGAAAGATTACGCAAGATTAATCTATTCTATTTTAAAAAATGGTATTTAAGGAAAATTTCCTACTCTTAATTACATAAGTCTGCTCTAAATAGAGCGAGAGAGAGCAACTCAGAGCACGATTTTCTGTTTTTTTCATGAGCTCTATACTCCGATTCGCTCTAACGTGTTCTACTGTTTTTTGTTTTGCTTGAACTTGACCTGCACTACTCTTTTTTTCAGCCTCTAGATAAGCACGGAAGAAGTAAATTGCACTTTTGTAAAAGGTAGACTTGTTTGTTGACCTTTGTAAATATCTTTGAGCACACTGTAGAAATCAGAGCAATTGAGATAAGATTAAGTTTCCTCGGTAAATTCTTTAAATAATCAGCCAATCGAACAAAACAAAAATAGAGAGCTTGGAAACGCCAGCGCCAAATTTTGGTTCCGCCACTCATATTTAAAAATATGACTTTAACAGCAGATTAGTTATTGAATTAACTCGATTTCCGACCTTTTCGAACTTATCGTTAAATGGGAGACGTAAACCTGATTTTGTTCTTAAATCGTCTGAACTTGTGATTCAAGAATGCGTTAGCCGGGCTTGATTAAGACATCTTCACTCCGGACGAACGGGCAATCGGGCATGAAAAAATTTGCTTCGTAATTTCGTTGTGCTTATCTAGCCCGAATATTTTCTGGTTATATGGAATGGTTTGCAGAACAAACCTATTAAACTTTCTTTGCGCGTAGTACTCGACAGTGTCTCTTCGGTTAGCAGAGCAGTCTACCAGGCGGATGTTCATGTTTTCGTAATACTAACAACTAGATCACACTATGAAATGTCAGCTACATAAATCTTTCTGGTGGCCAACAATGACTTTGGTAGTCACCCGGCAGGGAGTATGAACCCTTCAGAGTTTAAATTTGAATGCTTAGGAGATTTAAAAGTAATGTTTTCATTAAATACTTATTTTCGAAAAAAACAAAGTTGCGAGATTACGATGGTTAATAAAATTTAAACTACGTAAGAGTCGGTATATTAAGATAATATATTTACCAAGTCCAGTACAAAGTAATCCATTGTTTTTGTAGCAGATCGCTTTAGTGATCTGCATCACGTGTTCTATAGGTGCGATTGAACTACGCTATATGGTAAGTAAAATTATATTTTGTACTAAAAATGACAACTGTAGAAGTGTTGATCACTTAACTCAGTAGAGCTTGAGCGCATACCAATGATGGACCAGTTAAGAGAAAATATGCTATATTCTAAAATGTTTCTTTGATAAAGGTGAAAACTTGAATAATATATATAATTGATACTGTAATTGTCCATCATGCACAACTATAGTGTCGTCGATTTCATTCAGGTAATTTTAATGTAAAAGCTGCTCTACGGTGTGAAAGGACAATTTTAGAATATGACGATAAAATAAAGGCAATCTTCGAGTCCGGCTGTCTTACGAGTACTGGTTCAATTATCCGGTAACCAAACAGTTAGGCATCACTTCAAAAATGCACAAGGAAGCTCGATGGTTGGGTGCCAGACCAAATTTCAAAATCTTTGCCGAATCGTAACAAAATCTTTCTAGTTCTGAGGGGAATGATTACGTAAAATGAAAATGGCCATGGTCAAAGGGTACCGATACAAGCGGTCTCCAGAATTCACACGTTTGATGTGTTTTCCGTAGGATTGGCAAGGGAATCATGCATCATGAGTTGCTCACCTTCGCCCTATCTTTTAATTCAGACTAGTATTGTCATTAATTATATCGTCTGAAGCTTTTTCCTACAGGAGGGAATTGTGTTTCATTAACGCAACGCTTGACCACACAAATCAATATTAACTCGCTGCAAGCTTCGAAAGTTTGGTTGGATGGCTCTTATGCATCAAACTCATAGACCGGAGCTGGCAACAAATAATTATTGTCGCTATTTTTCCTTCAATTTTCATTCAAATATAAATAATAAATTTTTGTATGAAAAAAAATTATATATAAAAAAGAGATTGCAAATCGATATAGTCTCCTTAAATATGAAAATAATGTAAACTAAAAAGAATTTTTCTCAATATTTCTATCAATATCTTTCGCTGAAGCGATTGTCGTCAAACCCTAATATGCATTGCATAAAACCTGATAATGAATGTCGTTACGTGTTGGCTGTATACACCTACCTCATATATCCTTGCTGATAGCCACCATACTGTCCAAAGTGATATCCCTGAAGGCCTTGCAAGAATTGATTCTGCACCGCGGCAGCGGAGGCGGCTGCAGCCGGTGTTACAGCCGCTGTGGTCGACGAAGCGGAATACGTTGGCGTTGGTGAATACCAGCAACCGGTGGCGGCCAGCTGTTGCCCATAGGCGGCTGCAGCAGCTGCTGCTGCACCAACAGTATATGGGAAACCGGCTGCTGCAGCGGCAGCTGGATTAAGCGCCTGACTGGCGATTGTCTGTGCATTATTCGGATCACCGCTCTCCTTGCCCCACGAACACTTAACAGGCTGTGCATTGATTTCCGTATTATGTACGCCAACAATGGCATGTGTGGCGGCTTCCTTGGTCGAAAAACTGTGCGTGTATGTGAGTTTGTCCAATAGCAAAAGGTTATAGGTGTGCAGGACCGCAGCAGTAATCATCAGCAGGCAAACGCAATAACATTGCGCGGCAACATGGAAGAGTAAAGTACAAAAGCAAATGAATGAATTAATGGGTTACATGTGCATGTAGGCGAACTACAATAGAAGTCATCGTAGGGTATGGTACTTGTTAGTTCTGTAGTCATGTGTTTATGTGTGGCTATGAAATATGAGTGTGTAATATTTGTCAATGGTCTTAATGTCTTGGCGTTACTAATACTAACCGCACAAATGCGTATCCCTTATCCTTAAAGACCCGTATCTCCTGTATCGAACCATATGGCGAGAAGGTCTTCTGCAGGATTTCCTCACTAAGCGCAGTCAAGGCGCTGTTGACACCACCCACATAAACGGTGCAGTTTGATGGGCTGCTTTGGATGTAGACCTCGTCGAATGTCAATGGTTTGACGTTTTCTGCAAAGAAAAATATAGACATAGCAAAATTAGTTATCTTGAGTTTCGCCAAACATACATTCTATTAAGTCACATACTATAAATAACAAATATTTCTTGTGGGTGCAGTTATGCCAAATTAAACAAATTTTGATTACCATCCTTGTCTGCTTGTCAAAAAACATAACTTTTTAAGATCTTAAACAATTGTGGTTATATACATACATATATATATATTTCAAAAATATACTAGGTGACAAAAATTAAAAAGAATCAAATTTGCACGCCTGTTTTCAGAGTTGCTCAGGAGTACAACAGATATTGATTGGAGCCTCTTCAGTACACCCGTTTCGAGTATTCATCCTTTTTATTGAAACACATTATTTATTAAAAACCGTGGTGTCGTCATGGTCTATTCATAAAAAGGCTTAAAAAAGGGTGATGAACTTAGCCATGATTCTCATGAGGAAACGTATTTTTTCCAAAATCAAGAAAACTGAATTGAGCAGAGTTTTAATTTAAGGTGTATTACATTAAAAAATGTTTTCAGGACTATTGAAGTACGCAAAATATCTTAGCAATTCTTTTTATCTTCTTCTTCTTTATTGTTCCTGGCACCGCTTACCCGCTTGTATCCGAATCAATCTGAGTGCTCCATTCATCTCTTCTTTTCCCTGCCTGGCGTCAGTTGGAAATATCAAGTGAAGCCAGGTCACTTTCCACCTGAACCTTCCAATGGTGTGGAGGTCTTCCTCTCCTTCTGGCTCCACCAGCGGGTACTCCGTTAATTGCGTACACGCTGTCTCTGCATTCGCTGAACTATGTCAATATCATCGTTTAGTTCGTACAGCTCATCGTTCCATTGTCTGCGATATTCGCCGTTGCCAATACGCAAAAGACCTTAAATCGTCCGCGCTTCTGTGCCTGTAGGATGGATATGACGAGCGACTTGTAGAGTTTGGTTTTCATTCGGAAAGAGAGGACTTTAATTTTCAATTGCCTACTCAGTCCAAAGTAGCACTTGTTGGCAAAATTGTTTCTGCGTTGGATTTCCAGGCTGACATTATTATTGGTGCTAATGCTTGTCCTTAGATAGACGAAATTATCTACGACTTTGATGTTACGACTGTCAACAGTGACGTGAGGTATTTTGTCTCGTTCTCATTCACTTCCAGACTCATTTGCTTTGCTTTAGTTTTTCACACAATACGCTTGATAGAACCTTATATATAATATTAAGAAAGCTTATTCCACCGTAGTTTGCGTAGACTGTGGGGTCGCCTTTTTTGTAAATTTGGCAGAGCACACTTAAATTCTAATCGTTGAGCATGTTCTCATCCGACCATATACTTTTTTGTTCTGGTATATAGTGCCACAGACAACCATATTTCAGATTCCGGCGAAGTCGATCACCCTCAGCCCATTTGGGGCACCTAATTCGCGCTCTTTTATATGGCAACTGGGCAGCGGTACATCCCCAACTAAAGGACCGGACCTTCCAAATGCCCTAAAATCGTAATCCGTAAAGTATTGTGTGGTGGATCCCAAACCCTACGCACATTCGTATGGGATTCGCCTTCTCACTTAAGCTCACCTCCAAACGTACGTTTGTTGGCTACCCAGAGGACACTTGGTCTAAGACCGGAAATCGTGAGCTGCTTGAACCATATGCAAACGAATCGTTTATGGCCAATCCCAGGTGAAAGGCTCACTTGCATGATCTTCCACATACGGCCCCATGACTATTTCACATAAATGCATGCAGAGAGTTTTTGCCAGTCATGCGATAAATATATAAAAATATTTTATGCAGTAACTTAAAAAGATTTTATATTTACAAAATCCTCTTTTACTATTTTGGATGCAAGTTTAAATATAATTAGCACGTGATTGGATAGTCTATGTGCTATATATATGCAGGCATTGCAACAACAGAAAATAATTTATAGACATTAACTTGGCAAAAGTTTGTAATAGATACCCCAGCTTTACAACTTTTATAAAGCTTCAGACCGTATTAAAAATTCATTGCCGTAAAAACATGAAGGGTTGCAAATGTAAACTACTCTATACATATGCACTTTCACCTCCATGTATGTGTCAGGTATAGTTTGCTTGCAGCAAAAGCGGAAACTGGCTAATTAGCCATTTTCAGGTTAAAATAAAATTTGCACTGTTTAAAAAAATAATGTCAACATCGCGTGTTTATGGCTCAATACAAGCATACAGACGAGCTTGTTGTATTGTATATTATAAATATTATATTAGGCACACATACTCAGGTATGCATAGATATACTTTTTCCTTTTAGCCCCATGGTAAAGAGTTCTATATTGCGGATTGGAATTGGGTAAGCGAAGTAAATTCACATGACCACAACCCGCTGTAGAGTAAAATTCCCCATGTCGTAATTTTTTCTTATAAGAAAAAAAAAATAAAATGAATTCAATTTATTTAAATATAACAAATTAAAAACACTATAATAATATAAACTAAATAAAATAAAATTATATAAAACAAAATATACTAAATGCTATAAAAATGATAAATAAATACAAAAAAAAATAATAAATATAACAATCCAAAATAAAATCAAATAAAACAACATAAAATAAAGTAAAATTAAATAATAAAAAATCAATTATAATAAAATAAAATAAAATAATATTAAATATAACAAAATAAAATAAAGTACTATTAAATAAAATAAAATAAAATAAAATGAAATAAAATAAAATCAAATCAAATAAAATAAAATAAAATAAAATAAAATAAAATAAAATAAAATAAAATAAAATAAAATAAAATAAAATTAAATAAAATAAAATAAAATAAAATAAAATAAAATAAAATAAAATAAAATAAAATAAAATAAAATACATTTAAATAAAATAAAATAAAATCTAATAGTAAAAAATTATATAAAATATAATAAAAAAGATATAATAGATATTTAATTGTAATAAAATAAATAAATTGAGATAAAATAGAAAAAAAAATATTATTAAAAATAAAAAATATTTTAAAAAGTGGCGAGCAATTTGCTCACGTTGATTAAAAATTGTGTTAACTCGATTTTGATATAGGGAAGCAGACATTACATTAGTAAAATCTTAAAGCGATTTAGCGCGCTGCTTTTTTATTTATACATAAAACGTTGTAAAATATTTTATTTTAGACATAAACACTTCTCTGTTATTGGGTTGTGCTTATAATTACACACCGAAAACTTTCTTGCCTTCCACCTGACTACTCTCATATATATATATAGTATATATATAGATATATATATACACCAGTATGTGTATATCTTTTTTAATTTCATGACGATGGTTAACATACCACTACCTTTGAAAAATAGTAATTACCTTTGCAACAACAACTCAATAATATGCATAAATAAAACAAGAAACAACAACAATTACTGGTAACAATAAGACGACAATAAAAGCGGCGCATACGAGTGGAATTACTTCAAAGCATGCAACAGGACTTTTTTTCTACCCACCAACTGATCTGCCCCTTTGGCAATGTGCTAATTCCCGGCGGTAAAAAATCTCATGACAAACGCTCATAGGCAGAACCATGGCGCTAGTTAGGTGGCAATAAAAAAATACAGAAGAATGTCAGAAAAATAGTATTTGTACATACTACGCTTTAACAGAAATGCCTTCATAACAAGGCTAAAATTTATTTAACGCTATTGTCGTGGTGCAAAGGATAATCATAAAAGCGCCAACAAATACATAGAAGTATTTATGTATGTTTATTTCAACGAATTGTACTCACACAAATACATATATACAGATATACTCGTAGGCACTGGCTTGAACAATAGCGTTTGATGTGTCATATTTTATTATTTTTTTTTTCATTTGATGCAGTTCCCACTTTTGCATAGACAAATTAACTTCAATGCTTCATACATACGAGTCGTTTATGGTCTTGCCATACATAAATAACAATTAAAACCATACATACACAGTGCTACTACAACAATAATTAAAACAATTGCGACACTTTCAGTGATCAGTTTTTATTTGTCGTTGTAAACCTACTTGCAGAATTTTGTCCTAATTGACACAAAGCTTTGTTGTCATGCTTGGCTGGAGGCCCCAGAAATTTTGGAATAGGAGCATGCATGAATGGTAATTAATTTATATTGCTAAAGCTAACTTTCCGTATTAGTGTAAGCAGTAACCCAACCGAATGAATTACATATATTGTCTCCGAACGACTGATTTGTTTTTAGCAGAATATCTTCATTGTATGTTAGATATAAGCCCAGGCAGGTTAACATTTCCTGCCGAGCGGCCAACGGTTTCAGTGGTTTTCATAGTATGTGGCGGTAGACTGACACGATGCTGTCTATCTATCAGTTTCTTTGGAGAGTAGGGTCGAACGAAAGCAAATCTAACGTTTGGCGCTCCCCTTAACCCAAAAAAACGGTCACTTCCTAATGTCGAAAACTAGGTGCAATCTGCTGTACTGCGGGAGAACTAAAACCCACAATTGATCAAAAATCTCGACGCCGCCTACACCGGTGGTTGATGAACTATTTTCCGAGTTTATCGAAGGGCTACAGTACCAATTATCTGCCCGCAAATATGAAATGAAATAACGGCTACAATAGTGCATCCCAGGCATTAAATATCAGATAAATAAATTGTATACGACTTGTAAGACTACGACATCTAATAATAATGAAGAACTCATGCAATCGCACCACAGGGCAACTCGATTGACTAAAATTTGTAAATGAAAATACTTTCAATCGCTGGTGAAATGACAGCATCCGTATGGAGTTCAACAACCATTGATAAGGATAAAATTGTGTTAAAATTTATCTATCCAACTAAGTCGGAGGAGATAACTGACCGTGAACGTGTATGTGAACCACAATATTTTTTTCAAATCATCAAACGTGGTGAAATCATTTATTGCATGTAGTAAGCTACATGGTAGTCTGGGCGCTTTAATGTCGAGTTGATTTTTCCCTCCACCCATGTTAATTGAACGGA